TACCACCCAGTCTGATACTATCATGACTGTGACAACCCTGGGTGTCACCCCTACCAAAGGGACAACAGCAGCTGCCTCCACTTTCCAAGGGACCTCAGCAACAGCCACAACTTCCCCGGTTCCACCTCCACCAGCCCCACTGATCAGAGTACAACCAACTCTGACAGCACAACGACTCTGATGACCGAGGCTGAAACCTCCACCCCGGGGACAACAGCAGCTCCTACTACTTTCCCACGGACCTCACCAATAGCCACAACTTCCCCTGGCTCCACCTCTACCAGCACCAGAAACCAGACTACCACCCAGTCTGAGAGTACTATGACTCTGACAACACAGGCTGTCACTAATACCCAGAGGACAGCAGCACATCCTACTACTTTCCCAGGGACCTCCTCAACAGCCGCAAGTTCCACAGGTTCCACCTCCACCAGTCTCACAGATCAGAGTAACACTCAATCTGAAAGTACTACGACTGTGACAACACAGGCTATCAGCGCTACCCAAGGGACAACAGCACCTGACACTACTTTCTCAGGGGCCTCAGACAGAGTCACAGCTTCCGCTGTCTCCACTTCAACCAGCCCCACAAATCAGAGTACCACCCAGTCTGATACTACTCTGACTGTGACAACCCAGTCTGTCACCACTACTGCAGGGACAACAGCAGCTGCCTCTACTGTCCCAGGCACCTCGGCAAGAGACACAACTTTCCCTGGTTCTACCTCCACCAGCCCCACATACCAGAGTACCACCAAGTCTGACGGCACAACTTCTCTGATAACCCAGGCAATCATCTCCACCACAGGGACAATAGCAGCTGCTACTACTTTACCAGGCATCTCAGCAACAGCCCCATCTACCCTTGCCTACACCTTAACCAGCCCCACAACTCAGACTACCTCCCACTTTCACAGTACTACAACTCTGACAACCCAGGCTCTTGCTAATACCCAAGGGACAACAGCAGCTGCTACTACTACTTTCCCAGGGACCTCATCAAAAGCCACAACTTCCCCTAGTCACACCTCTACCAGCCCCAAAGATGAGAGTACCACTCAGTTTGAAAGTACTATGACTGTCAGAACCCAGGCTGTCACCGCTACAGAAGGGACCACAGCAGCTGCCTCTACTTTCCCAGGCACTGCAGCAACAGCCACAACTTCCCCTAGCTCCACCTCCACCAGTCCTGGAGGTCAGACTACCACCCAGTCTGAAAGTACTACGACTGTGACAACCCTGGGTGTCACCCCTACCAAAGGGACAACAGCAGCTGCCTCCACTTTCCAAGCGACCTCAGCAACAGCCACAACTCCCCCGGTTCCACCGCCACCAGCCCCACTGATCAGAGTACAACCAACTCTGACAGCACAACGACTCTGATGACCGAGGCTGTCACCTCCACCCCAGGGACAACAGAAGCTGCTACTACTTTCCCAGGGACCTCCTCAACAGCCACAAGTTCTGCAGGTTCCACCTCCACCAGCCCCACAGATCAGAGTACTACTCATTCTGATACTACTATAACTATGACAACCCAGGCTATCACCACTACTGCAGGGACAACAGCAGCTGCCTCTGCTTTCCCAGGACATCAGCAACAGCCACAACTTACCCTGGTTCCACCTCCACCACTCCCACAGATCAGAGTACAAGCAACTCTGACACCACAACGACTCTGATGACCGAGGCTGTCACCTCCACCCCGGGACAACAGCAGCTCCTACTACTTTCCCAGGGACCTCAGCAACAGCCACAACTTCCCTACTTCCACCTCCAGCACCCAGATCCAGTACCACTCACTCTCAAAGTACTACGACTCTGACAACCCAGGCTGTCACCAATACCCAGGGGACAACAGCAGCTCCTCTACTTTCCAGGGACCTCTCAAAGCCCAAGTTCCCGTCCACCTCACCAGCCAACAGATCAGAGTACCACTCAGTCTGAAAGTACTATGACTGTGACAACCAGGCTGTCACCGCTACAGAAGGACAAGCAGCACTGCCTACTTTCCCAGGCCTCAGCAACAGCCACAACTTCCCCGCTCCACCTCCACCAGTCCAGGTCAGACTACCACCAGTCTGAAAGTACTACGACTGTGAAACCAGGCTGTCACCCTACCAAAGGACAACAGCAGCTGCCTACTTTCCCAGGGGCCTCAGCAACAGCCACAGCTTCCCCTCCACTTCACCAGCCCCACTCAGAGTACACCAGTCTGACAGACACGACTCTGATGACCGGGGCTGTCACCCACCAGGGACAACAGCAGCTGCCTCCACTTTCCCAGGACCTCACCAGCCACAACTTCCCCCGGTCCACCTCCACCAGCACCAGAACCAGACTACACCCAGTCTGAGAGTACAACGACTCTGACAACCAGGCTGTCACTACCCAGGGACAACAGCCGTTGCATCTACTTCCCAGGACCTCACAATAGCACAATTCCCTGCCTCCACCTCACCAGCACAGATCAGACGTACCACCAGTCTGACAGCACAACTTCGCTGATAACCCAGGCTATCATCTCCACCCCAAGGGACAATAAATCTGCTATTCCTTTACCAGACACCTCAGCAACAGCCCCATCTTCTCTTGCCTACACCTCAACCAGCCCCACTGATCAGAGTACCACTCAGTCTGAGAGTACTACCACTGTGACAACCCAGGCTGTCACCAATACCCAGGGACAACAGCAGATGCCTCTACTTTCCCAGGGATCTCAACAACAGACACAACTTCTCCTGGTTCCACCTTCACCAGCCCCACAGATCACAGTACAACGAAGACTGACAGCACAACGTCTCTGATAACTCAGGCTATCACCTCCACACTAGGGACAACAGCAGCTCCTACTACTTTCCAAGGGACCTCAGCAACAGCCACAAGTTCTGCAGGTTCCACCTCCACCAGCCCCACAGATCAGAGTACTACTCATTCTGATACTACTATAACTATGACAACCCAGGCTATCACCACTACTGCAGGACAACAGCAGCTGCCTCTGCTTTCCCAGGAACATCAGCAACAGCCACAACTTACCCTGGTTCCACCTCCACCACTCCCACAGATCAGAGTACAAGCAACTCTGACACCACAACGACTCTGATGACCGAGGCTGTCACCTCCACCCCGGGGACAACAGCAGCTCCTACTACTTTCCCAGGGACCTCAGCAACAGCCACAACTTCCCCTGGTTCCACCTCCACCAGCCCCACCGATCACAGTACATCGAAGACTGACAGCACAATGACTCTGATGACCGAGGCTGTCACCTCCACCCCGGGGACAACAGCAGCTCCTACTACTTTCCCAGGGACCTCAGCAATAGCCATAACTTCCCCTAGTTCCACCTCCATCAGCCCCATAGATCGCAGTACCACCCAGTCTGAAAGTATTACGACTCTGACAACCCAGGCTATCACCATTACCCAGGGGACAACAGCAGCTGACTCTATTTTACCAGGGACCTCAGCGACAGTGACACCTTCCCCTGCCTCCACTTCAACCAGCCACACAGATCAGAGTACCACTCAGTCTGAGAGTACTATCACTGTGACAACCCAGGCTATCACCTCCACCCTAGGGACAACAGAAGCAGTCACGAGTTTCCCAGGAACCTCAGCAATAGCCACTGCATTTCCTGGATACACTCAGACCATCCCAACACCTCAGAGTAACTCTGAGCAGGACAGCACAACCCTTTGGACCACCCTGGCTCTCACTTCCTCCCCACTGACAACAGCAACCACTGATTCACCTGGCCCAACAACTAAGGGTACCACCAGGCCAAGCAGCACCACTAGAGGGACCACACTGGCTGCCACCACAAAATCTCTCACCACTCTTTCTTTCACAACTGTTCCAGTCACCACACCATCAACTACCACACCGTGTAAGTGCCTCTTTGGGACCCTTGACTTCTATGTTTCTATTTTCCCTCTGTCCTTTCTTTCATTAATGCCATCCTTCTGTCTACCTCTTTCTTTTTAGAGCTATAATTTCATTTGCAGAGCCACCTCCTCTCCCACCTTCATTTCCCTTCCAGCTCTCTCTCGCTATTACTGCCTAGAACCATCACATATCACTCATTATTATCTATTTTTTTCCCTTTAGTCTTGGCATGCCCTCCTGTAGATATCCATTGATCCTGACATTCACCTATTCTCCAATCCCTTTTTGTTGCTCTTGGCCTTTTTTCTATGAAACTCCATAAATTTCTTCATAAGTGGTTATGGTTCAACCTTCCATTCCCACAAAGGCTTGCACTTTAATGCTTTAATGTCTCCTAAAACGTAGGTGACTATGCATGAACTGGCCTCATGGAGTCCTTTCCTCCTTTTTGTCTCTTCCTGGTCCAGATGCCAAAGGACTGCACCTCTCCCTCCCAATTTTTCCTTCTCTTCATTTGCCTCTCCATCACCTCTTTCACACAATCAGTCAACAAGAAATTCTTAAGCCCTTATTATCTCCTTGGCACTATGTGGGGCATACAAAGAATGGGAAAAATAGTCCCTGCTCTGGAGGAGCTTCCATTCTCATGCGGGACACAATATGTGAATATAACTAGGTATACATATGATATAGCCATAGTTCACAGCAGGCAATCTGGCAGAGGATGATTGTACTTGCCGCTTCTGGGACTGGGAAATACCTCCTGCAAAAAGGAGAATTTGAGCTGAGTCTTCAAGGAAGTCAGAGGAATTAAGAGTCAGAGGTGAAGGGGGACAGCATTCAGGACATGGCAGACAACCAGTGTAAAGGGATAGAGATGGGACATGGAGTGTCCTCTTTCAGGAACAGCAATATAAGTGGATTTTGTCGTTCGTGAAGGGCAGTAAGTGTAACAAGACTGTAAAGGCAAGAAGGAGCTGGTTTATGGAGAGACTGAACTGCCAAACAGAGAGGTTACATTTGATCCTCGAGGTTATGAGCTCACTGAGTAAGGGGTGACAAGGTCTGATCTGTGTTTTAGAAAAATTATCTTGGCAGCTGAGAGACGAATGGATTGGGACGGTGAGAAATTTGAGGGAGGGACAACAGTCAAAAGGCTATTGCAATATTCCAGGCATGAGGTGATGAGGCCTCAACTAGGGTTGTGACCGTAAGAGTGGAGAGAAGAGGACCTAGGTTAGAGATGAAGTGAAGGTGGAAACGAGATTTAGCCAGGGATTCGCTACGTGGGTGTACAATAGCCAAGAGTCAAGGATGATATATTGAGCCTGAGTGACTGGGAAGATGGTGGGGCCTCAATGGTAATACAGACATTTAGAAAAGGAAAGAGTTTTGGGGAAACAATAATGAGTTCTGTGTTGAAATACTGAGTTTGAGATAATTATGGGGCATCTATTTTGAGAGGTCCTAAAAGCAGCTGTCAAACAGGCATGTAGCTGAGGGGCTGTACAGTTGGTTATACAGATTTGCAAATCACCTCTATGGAAATAATTTTTGAACACACAGGAGCTGATGAAATCAAGATGGTGTAAAGCGAAAAGAGATGAGAGCCTACTGTAATGCCTTGGGGGACATTCATGTTAGTGAGCCTAACACTGATGAAGATGAAGCCTGAGAAGAGCCAGCAAATCAGACTGAACAGTGGTCTAACAGAACAGCATCATGAAAACCCAGGAGAGAGTGACCAACAGTGTCAAATGCTACAAAAAATGTTAAGAAAAATAAAGTTGAGAAAAGGCCATCAGATTTGGGGGAATACTGGTAACACTGGAGAGGATGGTTTCAGTTGAATCATGAGGTCAGAAGCTAGATTGCAGAGCATGAGACAAGAGGAAGCAGAGGCTCCAAGAGTTTAGCCATGAAGGGGAGAAAAATTACAGGACAATAGCTAGTTGGAATGGTAGCATCAAGTGAGAGTTTTTTAAGGATCAGGGAGACAAAGGCCTCTTTGAAGATAACAAGGAAAGAGACATTGGAGATTTAAGAAAAAGAATGGGGGTGAGGGGGAAGGAAGGAAGAGAAGGAGGAGGAGGAGGAAGATAGGGCTAATCTGCTACAGAAGTTGGGAGGGGACAGAGGATTGATTCTGGTAAAGAGGACCACCTCTTTATCTGAGACTGGAGTAAAGGGGGAGATACTGAGGGAATATATATGAATGAAAGAAAATGAGGAGGACTCTTTATGTGAGTACTGGAAATGGTGGAAAGTGGTGTTATCAGGAGGAAGTTGTGTCATAAGTCCAGAAAAAGAGATGACTGAAAAAGGAAGAAATTTAAGGTTAAGGAGACTTTATTAGTTACGAAGGAAGCATTCTTCAGGACAGTGGAAGGAGCAGACACATCTGGGGTTTAAGGGATGGGGAGATGGTGATGTGTACATCAATAGCTAGGGGTTCAGAATCACTGGAAAGTGATTCTGGGAAAGTATAAAGTGAGTATAAGGAAATGGGAGTGAGTCCAGGCAAAATATCTTTGACCCTCTCTCTCCATGTCGAAGTCTCACACAGTCTGCATCTCTTTCTCTGGTCTCTTCACTTTTCTCTTCCCCTAAAAACTCATTTTTTTCTCTCCCAAACCTTTTGCTTTGTTCTCCTACCACTTTCTTTCCTCCACTTCTCCCCTCTCCATACTGCATTGAGTATCTTACTTCTTTCAGTGATATGCTTAAATGGAGGTAGTTGGAGTGGAAACTCTTGCATCTGTCCCACTGGTTACAATGGAGAGCAATGTGAGGAGAAGGACATTGTGTGCGAGAATGGGGGCACCTGGGATGGAATCAAATGCATCTGCAGTGTCCTCTTCTATGGCACTAAGTGTGAATTGGTTTCAGACAGCCTTCCCATAGGTAAGCCAAACATCTCTGGGTCTCAGGGCTCTGAGCATAGCTTCATCAACAGCTGAGGTGAGTATAGGGGAGTGAAAGGGGACGAAAGGTACCCGAACAATCCTCAGGGACAAGGTGGAAGGTCACAAAGCACGGGGGATAGAGAGGGTTCATTCTGAATGATTTGTATGCTCATAATCAAGTCCATTTCCACCAGGAACTCCTCCAGAAGAGGTCAATGCTACCGTGGGAGTGAAAGTGACTGTGACCAATATGGAATTTACAAAGGACTTAGAAAACACATCTTCGGATGCCTACAAGAGTTTCGCTGAACTGTTCAAAACACAGGTATAGGATCAATGGGTCATAAGACCACCGGATTTGGCAGGAACCTTAGAGGTCATCTACTACATTCCCTGATTTCATAGAGGGGATCCAGAAGAGTTAAGTGACTTACTTAAGTTAAGTCACTTGCCTAAGGTTACATAACCAGTTAATGGCAGAAACAAAAATTCGAACCAGGACTCCCATAACACCCAGGTCAGTGCTTTATCCATTAGATTCTCTGCCTCCATCTCTTAGTGTCTTTCACTCTGCTCCTGTGTCTCAATCTTACCATTTCAACTAAAACTGAATAGTGGGAGGAGGTCTGCAGCAGGAGTAGGATGATTTAGAGAACTGTCCTGACAACTTATAAGCCATTTTACCTGGACAAGTCACTTCACTTTTATGACTGCCAGTTTGCACCTGGAGTCAGGAAGACCTGCGTTCAAATCTGGCTTCAGATACTAGTTCTGCGACCCTGGGCAAAGCACTTAACCTGTCTCAGCTTCAGCTTTCCTCATCTATAATACATTCCATAGATTCCTCACTTACCTCCCAGAGTTGTTGTGAAGACAAGTAAGATAATATTTGGAAAGTGCTTGGTAAACCTTAAAATGCTATCTAAATCCTAACTATTATTATTGTTATTATTATAGCTTACAAGGTTATTTGGAGAGTCAAATGAGATAATATATATAAAACTTCCTTCTTATTGTTCATTTATTGTTAATAATTCTGGTATATTTCACTGCTTTCCCTCCTACAAGCTGTCTTTTCTTCCTTATTCAGAAAACAAGAATCTTCCAAATTATCTGAATTTTCTCAGTTAATCAACAATCATATACTACTATGTGCTAGGCATGGGAGAGTACTAGTGTAAGATGGGGTGGTGGGAGAGGAAGACTGGCAAATGAAGGCCCATTCCTTCGAGTATGCACACTCAGTTTTAATTCAGCAGTTGTTTATCTCTTTTAATTCCATCATATCTTGATGCTTTTTCCCTTATAAGTTGTCTTTTCCCTCTTAACATTTAGAAAATAAGAATCCTCCAAATTATCTGAATTTTTGAATCAATCAACAAACATTTATTAACTGCCTACAATGTGCCAATTAACTATGAAGTAGTTTGGGAGGAGGAAGAGGATTAGCAGCAATTGGGAAGGAGGGGTCACATAGGGCTTTAAAGGAAGAGACTTTGTAAGCTGAAGGCCAGGAGGTAGTGCTTTCCAGGAATAGGAGAATGACCAGTGCAGAGGAGATGGGAAATGAAGTGTCATGTGTGAGGAACAGGGACAAATTCCATTTGGTTACATAGCAGAATGTGGGAAGGCAAGGGCTGCCAGGTGGCACAGTGGATAGAGTACTGGGCCTGATCTTCCTAACTTCAAATCTGGACTCACACACTAGTTGTATCATCCTGGGCAAGTCACTTAACACTGTTTTCCTCAGTTTCCTCAACTGTAAAATGCACTGGAGAAGGAAATGGCAAATCATTCCAATGTCTTTGCTAAGGAAACCCAAATGGGGTCAAGAAGAGTAGAACACAACTGAAAAACAACTAAACAACAACAGAAAGAGAAGGAATGTTCAAAGATACTGAAATATTAATTGGAACCAGGTTGTGAAGGGTTTTCAAAGTGAAACAGAGGAGTTGATATTTTATCCTAGAGGCAATCAAAAGGTACTGGGGTTGACTGAGTACAAAGGTCAGATCTATGCTTAAGGAAAATTACTTTGACAGTAATGTTTGGGACAGACAGTTGTGAGAGACCTGACAAAGAGAAGGTTTGGCAAAAGATGAAATATATCAGTTGATGGAGAATGAGGGGTCGTGGATAATGTCAAGGTTATGAAACTGGGGGGACTAGAAGAATGGTGGTGTCTTCAACAGAAATAGGGAAGTTTGGAAGAGAGGTGGCTAGCAATGGAGACTGAAGGGATAGTCAGACAGTAGAAGCAAGGAGAATAATGTAATGAAACCCTATACAGGAGAGAGCCTCCCAGGGGAGGGTGGTCAACTGTGTCAAATGCAGCAGATAGGTCAAAAAGAAGGAGGACGTTGAAAAAAGACCACAGATTTGGCAATTTAGAGAGACCTAGTGATTTTTGAGAGGGTAGTTTCAGTTGAATAATGAGGTTGGAAGCCAGACTGAAAAGGGCTGAGGACTGAGGCAGCAGCAGGTGTAAAAACATTTTTGAAAGAGTTTGACAGAAAGGGAAGAGAACTATAAGAAGGTAGTTTGATGGGACAGTAGAGTCTAGTAAAAGCTGTTTTTTGTTTTTAAAAAACAGAGAAATCAGTAGATAAAGAGAGGTTGGAGATTTGTGAGAGAGTGAGGAGATAGATGATTGAGGATATAATTTACTGGAGAAACTGAGATGTGATAGAATGAGGTATACAAGGAAAGAAGCTGGCCTTCGCAGGCAGAAAGGCCACTTCTGTGTCAGAGAATATGGAGAAAGAAGGAGAGAGTAGGAGGTGATATCTAGTTTTGAGATGAAGATCAAGGGAAAAGAGGAAGCTCACAGAGAATGGCCTACATTTTCTCAATAAAGGCTCAGCTAACAGTGATCAAGAGAGGTGTATATGTGGGAGACTTGAGGAGGGAACAGAAGGTTTGGAAAAGCTTCTGTGGAAATTAAGATACGGAATTAATTATGGGGGGGAACAACTGCTTGCTGCAGGAGAGCCTAGCTGATATTGGACAACATGAATGGTAATTGGGATGGAGCTGGAGTATATTCCTCTTCTGGAAGAGACCTGGATTCTCACCTCATGAAGGAATCAGTGGACAGTGGAATAGCAAACTAGTCCTGGCTTGTTTCGGTTTTCCTGACTCACTCATCCTTTCCAGGCCTCCCCACTGCTGGCTCTGGGAGCTCCATTCTTGAAACACACAGGTGGTAGCCCTTGAGGAGGTCAGCTGAACTCAGGGACATCACAAGAATAAAGGGAGGACATTAGGTTAGGTAATGGCAGCATCTGCCTAACCCTTCCATGGAGACATTGCTCTCCCATGTCCTCTATGGTACTTCTGTGCTTTAAACACTTTCTGTCCAGAGTCTACTTTCACACAGGTTGATTCTCATAGGCCTCTGCTAAGAGGAAGGGCTATTTTAGAGAGGGGGAGTGACAGAAAGGGAGTGGGGCTAAAGAATACCATGATTTTGACTATTTAGATAACCCAGTGACCTCTTTGCCTTTCAGATGGATACCATTTTCCAAAACGTCTCTCACTATGTTGGTGTGGAGATCAAGAAGCTTTCGTAAGTCTCTGCCATCTTTGGAGAACCAGAGCCATGTAGAGTGGGAAGTTAGATGGTATGGGTGCCCTATTAGTCGGGAGTATTCACCTTCCTCACCTCAACATCCTTCAAGGATAAATCAATCAGTCAACAAGACCACACTGTGCTTGCTGAGAATACAAAGAAAAAGCACAATAGCCCCTGCCTTCTCGTGGGCTTCTACAACATCTAGAGCAATACGTAAATCTAAGATAAATGTAAGAGTAGACCAAGGTAACCTTGGAGAAGAAATCACTAGCAGCTGAAGATGCATGAGAGAGAAGGGAGAACAGGGGATGCCTCCAACAGAAGGTAGTGTTTGAGTTTTGAAGGAAAACAGGGATTCTAAGAGGAAGAGATGAAGCAGAGGAGCATTCTAGGCACCGGGGACAGCAGAGCAAAGTCCTATTCATGGGAGATGGAGTGTGTGTTTAAGGAACAGCAAGAAGGCCTGTACATGGTTGGAATGTGCAGTTCACGTACATTCGTATACATGATGTAAAAAGTAGAAGCAACGTGTAAGAAGACTAGAAAGATAGGAAGGATCAGGTTGTAATGACCTTTAAATGCCAAACACGAATTCATTATTTCATTCTAGGGTTAAATAGAGTCACTACAGTTTATCGTGTAGGGAGGTGACATGGTCAGAATTTTATTTTAGGCAAATCATTCTGACAGTTCTGTGGAGAATGGATTGGAATGGGGAGAGATGTGAAGCAAGGAGACCAGTTAGAAGGCTATTGCAATAGTCTAGGCTAGAGGTGATAAAGGTCTGAGCTCAGGCCGTGGCTGTATTACGAGAGTGAAGGGGGTATACCAAAGAGATGCTGGAGAAAAAGAAACAACAACATTTGGCAACTGGGGTAAGTGAGAATGAGGAGTGGAGGATGAGGAAGGCCAAGAAAGGTGTGGCTATGAGTCTGAATTCTGAATGACACCTGGATAAAGGATGTTCCAGGTTGTCCCCTATCTCCATGAAGGGAGTTTCCTCTAGAGGGAAGAGGGTTTGTTAAGAGTAGACATTCAATGTGGTTGTTAGGTTGGCCTGGTTACCAACCCTACTCAGGCATTGAGAAGATCATGAGATGACCTTGTCTCTTCTCTTCTCAGAAATGGCAGTATACTGGTGGAGTATGATGTGATCCTGTCAACAAGTTTCACCCCAGATTACATGACAGAATTGGAGACTAGTGCAAAGAAGGTAGAGGAAACAATTACAACAGTAATCATTGAGCAAGGAGACACAAACTGCACAGGTAAGTGCCCCATCTCACCCCTGCTCAAGTTTTTCTCTTATTACCTCCCTCTACATACACGATGCATAAACTGCCTCTACACTTGCCTTTGTTCCCCCAGGGTCAGTCCCCGTGTCTGTGATGTCTTCCCTCTCCCTTTGTATTTGGTGAATTTTTACCCCTCCTTTAAAAGCCAATTCAAAAGCCACTTCCCTGGGAAAACCTGCCCTTGGGTTCCTTGTACCTAACCACCTCTCCCCCTCCTACCCCCCACCTCAGGCCTTGAAGACATAAGGCCTCTCTAATAACGGGCTATCACAAATTAAGTGTTTGCCATATCTCTGTGTTTTTATTTTTCTACCACTGTAAATTCCAGGAGGGTGGCATCTTCCCCAGCACCTCAGCTCAATGTTCTTCCCATTTTCTTTTGGGTGCAGACCTAGGATTTCATCAGTGTCAGGGAACTTCCAGTGTGGAACCTAACTCCACCAATACAGATTCTCATCTCCTTTGTGATAAAGTCTTAGACTTGCCTCGGCCACTGAGAAGTTAAGTGACTTGCTTGTGGCCTCACATCAAGTATGGCTGGATTTGAACCCAGGTCTTCCTAACTCCCACCTCAGTCCTTTAGCCTTTCTACCATATCATCTATCCTTTTGTACACAGTAGGCAATTAATAAATGTCTGTTAAATTGTATTGAATCTCCTGAGACACAAGGAAGGAAGAGATCTTGCAGGGAGCTCATTGTCTCAAACTATCACTTTTGCATGACCCTGCCTCTCTCTCTCTCATCTGAGGGAGAAGGGGTAAGACGACAGAACCCAAGGCAGATAAAGTCCCAACTGGAGAGGTCTTACCCAAATCGGGGCTCACCTACTTTGAGGAAATGACAATCAGAAATGTGGGAAGGAAGGAACAAGCATTTATTAGGCACCTATCATATGCCACGCACTGTGCTAAGCACATTACAAATATTTCATTTGATCCTCACAATAACCCTGGGAGGCAGGTGCTATCATTACCCCCACTTTACAGATGAGGAAACTGAGGCAGAGAGTAAGTGACTTGCCCAGGATCAGACAGCTAGTAAGCATCTGAGTCAAGAGTTAAGCCCAGGACTTCCTAACTTGAGGCCCAAAACTCTATGCTAAGCTCCCCTTAAGATAAAGAAAAGGTGTAGATTCAGAGATATTATAGCCCAACTATCAAAAAACCAGCTTCTTGCAGGAGACTCTCGGTAGCCACAGTGCCACGATGAGGTGGGCTTGTGGAAAAAGGCTGGTGGAGCTCACTAAGCAGGAAAAAATGCTTCTGAGCACAACTGGAAATGGAAATAGAAATGGAAATGGGAAAAAATTCAGGGAAGGAAAGAATTTCAAAGGGCTGAGTATCTGAAGCCTGAGGGTCTGGCTTATCCCCCACTCTTGGAGAGGAAGCCTTCAACAGAAAAGCCCTGAGACAAGGGGAGATTTACTCTTGGTTTTACTCTTTCACAGAAATATTATGTTTCAACCCCAACGAGACATCAGTGGATGAGCTTATAGTTTCCTATGATCCTCTGGGTATGTAAACCTAAAGCAGAAGTGGGGCAGGGGTTGGGGTAAGCTCTGGAGCCCACCCTGGGTGAAGAGTTCTTCCTTTGTACTATTTATTCCCTTGACTTTCTCCCTTAGTGGAATGCCAAGAGACTGCTGGAGAATTTAAGGAATTCTTCTACATTGACTACAAGGACGAAACACCAGAGTGTATTAACAGATGCATGCAAGGCTTCAACTCATCACTGGACTGCAACCAGGGAAAGTGTCTGTTCCAGCAGAGTGGGTCTCGGATAGGGCCTCGATGCTTGTGAGTTCCCAGGCCCTCCTAATAGCCTCCTTCCTTCTCCTAGGCCCATCTGGGCCCTCCCCGGACTGCATCCCTGAACCACATTTCCCCCTATCCCTCCAGAGGAGCAGGTCTTGATCTAGGCAGGCTTAAACCCTGTGGTCACATCTATAACAATCCTAGCCTCTTACTGGTAAGAGTGCCCTCTCACTGCCTGCCATCTGACTTGGCCCCTGCCCTCAGGGAGCTGACAAAGAAAACCATGTTCACTCTCTTGGACAGCTCTTGGAGAGCTCCCAGTCTGAATGGAAGGAATATGGTAGCCACCATCCAAATGTGAAGGAGCACACACCCACACAAAGAAGAAAAAAGCACAAAACCCAAATCATCCTAACATAAAAGCAAAGAAATTATCAGTTGCTGCCAGGGGTGTGCCAGGAGCCAGCTCAAACTGGTGTAACTTGCTCCAGTTTTCAGTGTGAGCAATCATACCTCAGAAATGGCAATGCCACATACAAATTAGGGCTTGATTTCTTGTTTTGTGGGTTCTCTAGACTGAAGAAAGTGCTAATAATGCAGATTTAACTTAAGTGTGTGTGTGCATACTTTTCCACCCAGACAGCCAAGTTGTTAAACTCATTTCCCAGTGCACTTTAGTATTGCTCTATAAACACTGTTTGAACTCAGCAAGAGGGCAGTAGAAGGCTCAGGGAAAGAAGGCATCCCAGCCTGGAAACCAATAATACTATTAAGGCATTTAGATGGTGCTTTGGGGTTTGTGAAGTGCTCTACATCCATTATCTTATTTGAGCCTCACAATGCCCCTGACTGCATCTTTCCTGAAAAGACCCCAGGCAGGGGGCAAGTCAATGGAAGGACTAGCATGTGTAACTGAAGAAGACTTCTGGGAAGGGAAGGAGCACTGAGCAGATTTGAAGAGGGGAAGAGCAGGATTGATGTAGAGGGTTGGGGAGGGTGTCCCTCATGTGGTGGTAGATACATGGGAAAAATGAAAATAGAGTTTTGTCTGGATACATTGTGCTGGGGTATCTGAAGATGAGTTAGAGGTTGAAAGAGTGATTAGTGATGAATTCTTAACATGTGATGAGGACTATGGGTACACTTCAGTTGGAGCAATTCCCTACCCTCACCCTTGCACATGGAGCTGACAGGGAACAAACTCTGGGAACAGGAAACACTGTTACAACACTCACGGGGCAGCATACCTGACCTGGGGAAGCAGAGGTGGATAATCATTATGAAGGCACTAGCTTCTCTCCCATTCTGAGGTTGCTTATAGACTATAGACTTATAGACAGATTAAGTCAAAAGTACACAGAACTTCTAGGTTAGTATTCCAAAACTGGCCTTTATACTGTGGTTGCTGACCTGATTGTGTTTACAAGAGGGAGGGCAAGAGAATCACATGACACCTCTTGGAGGCCAAGCAATGCCTCTAAGGTGTCCGGTCATTCCTAAGTGCTCTCCCTCATTTTGGGCATCCATGTGCATGCAGAAATACCCCTGGAGCTGGAATTAGATTATACGAATTCAGTTTTGAGTCTACTATGACCTTTTTGAGTGGCTCTGAGTACACATTTAACCTGTCTAAGCCTCTTTTCTCATCTCTATGATCAATAAGTCCTGTGCATTGGGTTAAGCTGTAAACTACTGCATTAGCTTCGGAACCCTCCTGTATCACAAGTAGTCATACCCTAACACACAAAATCATAGCTCCCAGATAGTTCTAGGCCCATTTTCCTTGAAGCTGGACTCCATCCCCATCCAGCTCACATTTCCTTCTCCTGGGGCCCCTTGACCAGACCCCTATCTCCTATATCCTAGTTCCTACAACCTGCACACATCTTTACCCTCTTCACAGTCCTTTCTCCATGGGATCAAAGGGCCAGTGCTGGAGATTGGGTAGAGTTAGAAGAAAGTGTCCATGATCTTGACTAAAATCTTCTTTCTCTCCTACCTTTACTATCATTCAACAGCTGTTTCACAACAGATACACACTTGGTACTGGGGAGAAACCTGTGACTTCAGCACCAGTAAGAACCTGGTGTATGGGTTAGTGGGCACCTTAGGGGCAGTGCTGGTGCTCACCATCGTTGCCCTCTCTGTCTTCATGTACATGTCCCGGAGGAAGATCCAAAGGTGAGCCATCTCTACCTCTACTTGTTGGTTGGTTTTTTTAGATTAATTTATTGATTTATCAACAATCACTTCCATATGCTTTTGAGTTGAAAATTTTTCTCCCCCTTCCTCCCCCCCACCCTCCCCAACACGGCGAACAATCTGATATAGGTTTTACATTTACATTCCTATTGAACATATTTTCACATTAGTGACGTTGTAAGTAAATATTAAAACCAATAGGAGGAACCATCAGAAAGATGAAACAAAACTCAACAGAAAGTAAAAATAAGTAATAGCAATTCGACTTCCACAGGTCTTTCGTTGCATGTGGACAGCATTTTCCATCCCAAGGCCTCTGGAGATGTCTTACATGCTTGTAATGCTGAGAAGGGTTCAGTTTAACAATCCTAGTCATTGCATAACGTGGCTGTTATTGTGTACAAAGTCCTCTGGGTTCTGCTCACTTCACTCAGCATCAGACCATGTAGGTCTTTCCAGGTTTTTCTGTCTACCTCTCCTTCTTACATTCCAGGTTGTAATCTTTGGCCTTTGTAATTCTTCATATCTTCAGGATGGCCATTGAGGGTTGGGAGGAAAGATGATCTGAAGGAAGTCACAGCTAGACTGGATGCTCTTCAGGCCATCTCCCCAAAACGTAGCTCGTCTGAATGTTATGGGCATTGTGCTGAGCCCTCAGTTCGGATAGGGGTGGGGGGTCACTCTGGCATTTTTGTCAACAGGCAGAAGGCCAGGCTGGATCAAGTGTATAAATGGCATGAAGAGGATGGAGGACCAGCTCCTGGGAGCTTTCAGAATACAGGCTTTGACATCTGTGAAGGTACAGCAGCCTTCTTTGGGTTCTTAGTGGCTACAGGGAGGCACTTGTAAGGAATGTCAGAGGACTTTGAGGGAGGAAAGGCAGTTCCCCATTCTAAAACGCTGGGCCCCACACAGCTTCCAAGACAGCAAGAAAGTGGTAGTGCAAAGCACTGAGCAGGTTGGGGGAAGAGAAAATGTGAAATAAAAGTCTACCTTCCCAACCACGCCACCTTCCTCTCTGTTCTCCCTCCCTCTAGAACCAGAAGATTCTCTTTACATGGATTCCACCTACAGTAATTTCCAGCCCTCCTTAGATCACATTGACCCTGAAAAGAAGGTAAGCAAAAGCATTTCTCTAGTCCCAAATTCCCTGACACAGACTTTTCAGGAAATGCAGAACTGTCCCTAGGCTTTGGAAAACTGGGGCAGTAACTCTTGGCCCTGAGCACTAATGGACCCCCATGCTTCTGGCATTTGACAATTACTCAAAAAAGCTGGACAGAAGGTGGCTTCCATATTTGGTGCCCCAAGATCTGATGCACATTATTGTTTCGTGATACCCTCATATCACCATGGTTAAGAGGTAGGACCAACCTCTCTCCATATCCCCATAGCCACATGCTAAGCTCCTCAGGTTGCATTGTATCTGTCTCTCCAAGGTTGCTTTTGTCATTCCTTGTTATATAATTTAATCTGGGGGATAAATGGGTGTGGGGTGGGGTGGAGAACATAGGGAAGAAAGCATATAATATACTTTCTGTCCTCCTAGGGTGGCAGGTGGGTCAAGGTTAAACAAAACACCTCCTCAACTCTCTATATCACATCCTGTTCTTGGAGTCTTCAAATCTGCTCAGTGCTCCTCCTGTCCCAGAAGTCTTTCTCAATTACACATGAAAATCCTTGCACTGACTTGCCTCCTACCTGGAGACTTTTCAGGAAATTCTGATACCCATCGAGGTAGATAGGTGAAACATACCAAGTTATTCTGAGACATATCTGATTATTTCACTGGTTCAGATCTCACCATTATATCAATGGCCACCGCAGGGTCAATGGGAGGAATCTTCCCTAATCTCTAGCATCTCTGCTGCCCTTACCTCTCTCTAGCCTCAACATCTTCCAGTAGCCTAGCACCCACATAGATGCCTTCTCTTTCTAGATCCAGATCCAAAGGCCACAGGTGGTAATGACCTCAGTATGAAAACTCACAGCTGAAGAAAACCTGTAGGTGGAACCCTACAAGGAGACAAGAATATCATTTGTAATACTGCCAAGGAAAGAAGTGCCAAATCCTCAGTTAGTGAGTGGAAGAACAGAGGCCTGGGCTTTGTTGATGTGAGATTATGTATGCAAATTGCCTTGTAAACCATTACTTGCTATGCAAACTGAATATATAATTATTATTTTTATGTTTCTTACTATTATGGCATTCTTTTTATTGATATTCCAAGGACACTGTTCTCCCACAATGTAGGTGCTCACCCAGCACCTCAACGGAGCTTCTGGCTGCATACACAGAGGAGAGAGAGGACTGCATGAAGGATGAAAGAGGGAGGAGGGAGGAGGGAGGAGGGAAGAGAGAAGAGAAAGCACTTTAGAAAAGACATCACTGTGGTCATTGCTGACTTCTGACATTTAGGGGTTGGTTCCCTCGGGGTGGAACTTTTCTCCCCATTCAGTTACAGTAAAACAGAGAATTCACATATGCAAATACGTATAACACTGAGATCTTTCTCTTTTTCTACATATACACAGGCATATGCTTATGTACACACAGAATCTGCAGTTGATGGTGTAGAATAGTCCCAGACTATGGCAGGAACTTGAGGATAAAAGGACGAAACATTTCTGTTGGATTAACCCAAGGCCCCTTGGGAACATCATGGAGCACGTACTAAGCAGACAGCTGACTGTCTCCTGAAGCTTTCATCTTTCAGGCAGGAGCCTTGGAAGTGGGGTTGATGCAGAACCACTCTGGTCACCAATGATGGAATGCATCTCCTCTAGAGCCCAGGACCAGTACTGACCCATGTCCAGATAATATTCACCCCTAATATTTGCATATTGCTTTCTGCCTTTTTTTTTCTAAAGGCTTCCTCACACCTTAATATCCTTTTATCCTCACAAAAGCCTTATGAAGTGTCAGCACTTGGTAGATAACGATGCTGAGAACAGAGAGTGAGGTAGCTTCCCTAAGACCACCAAATCAGTGATTTGCAGAGCCAGGATTCAGAACAGCTTCCTGACTACATGATGTCTCCTAAAGAATTGGGAAGGAGCTGACTTTACCTTAGGGTCAGGGCAACCTGCTTCTTTCAGCTCTTTGCTCTCATCAGAGCAACCCCAGGGCAATGGTTTTCAGGGTCCTTTCCTGGTATCCTGTACCCTCTATTGGACCATTGTGGCCACCTTACTTCCATGATCACTAATGTCCCATATTACCTAACTATTCTAAGAAATCAGACCTATCTGTGATTCTCTTCCCCTGCCATCCATCAGTAAGAGATAGCTTATCTGCCAGACTTCCCTTCTTCTCCATTTCTACATTACAGGATTTGGGGACTAGAAAATTTTGCCCAAACCTACTCTAGACCTAAGGATGACCAAGGGTAGGATTATTTTAGGGTACATTGCCACTCACAGGGTACATTTCCCCTCAGAATATCCTGGCCACTGAGAATTCCATACCAACCACAGCAAACATGTCCCCTGACTGCAGGGAAATACAATGCTGCCCTGCAATATCTACATTATTGTTGTTATTGCTATCCTATTCTTATCATTTGCAAAGCCATTAGTGTCAAGGGACTTATAGAATCATCAAAATAGTCTTTGGTATTTATGGTTACAGAGGTTTTTCACAACCATTAATATCACTTGAGTTGTGTAATATCCCTGTGAGGCAGGTGAAGCACATATTACAGTTTATTAGAGAGATAAAACCCAAGTGTTGAGGTCTGAGAGGTTGAGACCCCTCAAAGAACAGACTGAAGGACAGGGTCCTCTGGAATGAATTCACAGACTCAAGCATTTTTTGAGCCAAGTTGGCAAAGATTTACTGTTATGCTTTTCAGCAGGCAAAGATTCTTAAGGAACCTGGGACTTTAGAGGGGTAGAGTGAAAGTTTATATAAGATAAAATATAGTGAAACATGGGCCAAATATGCTAACTCAGTAATTCAGGTTGGATTAGGGAGTGGTTAAGGAGTAGTCAGTTCTTAAAGGAACATGTACTTTTTGTATCTACTGTGCAGGTGTTTTACCCAGAGGTCACTAGGAAAAGCCCACAACAGGGGCCACATGGAGGTATGGTTTTAGGCCTGCTACTTCACTAAGTTAACTAGCACTCAGGGGCAACTGAGAATCGCCCAATTTGCCATCAATCAATGTCTTCTTTGACAAGATAGATGTAGGGAGTATATATGTGTCTTAGGTCTAAAATACAGATAATGAGGAGTCCAGGAGCTGGATAATGAGATAGGGTCATAGTATAGATAGTCTAGTGGGTAAGAATATTTTTATGACCCAGTGCAAAGCCAGTTCAAACTAATAATTCCTTCAGGTCCAATTAGTAAGTGCACCAGGGAGAGAGAGAAAGATCTTGCTAGGGCTCACTAATGAGTAATTGCTAGGCACACTGTCCTTGGGCTGGGGATGGGGGACGGGGGGGGGAGGAACTGCCAGGGATAGTGTTTCTGAGGCTAGGGAGAAACTGAGGTCCAAACACAGGCACCCAAGCACCCTATCACAACGTTATATATACCTCATCTGTGGCAGAGTGAAAACTCAAAGTAGTGACTTCTAACTTCAATTCTGGTGATTTTATCCTTTGCTATTATGGGCTGCTGCTTCCCTTGCACTTGAGATGTCAGTCATGTTTTACCAAAGACCACATGACAGGCTCAGTCTCTAAGTTTCTCCTCCACAGAACACTCCCCCTAAACTTGAACTTCAAAACAAAACAAAGAAACAAAAAAACTTTACCCTGCTGCTCCCCAGTGGTTTCCTTGGAACCATGACACACAGTTAGAACATTCAACCTGCCCCACTCACATGGCTCAGCTCTCCTGGATAACTCCACTCCTTCGTGGCCCCTGTTGTGTCTCCAGCTCCAAAGAACCCTTTCAGCTTTCTCCCCATTCATTTCTTCATTTGCCTTCCAAGCCTTCAGCTTCTAGAATTGAGCCAAGTTCCAGATGACATATCTTTAAATACTTTACTCTATTGCAAAGGCTACACTGCAAAGGTAGGAGGGTATGATACTGGGGCAGTTCTAAGGGAGTTACTGAATCTCAGCAACATTCATCACTACTTATTAACACAACTTTCTCTTCAATCACATTAATCCCTCAACACTGTGCTTTCCCTTCCTCTTTTCCATTCACCTTTCCCTACCTCATCACCTGCTGTCATGACTGGGATTCTCAGAGTCCCTCAGGCTTGACATGGAATGCTTCCCTAGACAAAGCAGTGAACCCCAGAGTTTCCAGCTCCTTTTATGCTCACCCCACATAACCACATTTGTAACAAATACCAAGGCTCTTATCCTCATGGTCACTCTGTGTTCTGGGAAAGATCCATGGATCAAGGCTGCTTGCAGAGGAATCTCAGCTCTTATCTCAATCACTGCCTCTTTCTTCTTTTGTGCTCAACCAAGAACTGGTGGCCTTGAAACATATACTGAGCATGGAAGGGAGGCAGGAAACAAGCAGGAGCACCTACTGTGTGCTAGGTACTGTGCTAAGCACTTTACAAATATTACCTCAGTCATCTTTACAACAACCTCATGAGGTAGGTGTGGGGAAAAACATAAGCTCCCAAATGATCCTCTCCTTTAAAGCATGGAAAAACACCTCCAAGACCAAGTGCTAACACAAATCCAGGTAATTCAATTAGAACTTCAGGACCTTCACACTCAACTCCAGTCCTCCCTGTCTTCAACCTTAGAGGAACTGATTAACTCAGTGATTGGCCAAATGGAGCAAACAATCTCAATTTCTCCTCCTCTCAAAGGCTGAAGAACTTGGATGCACTTGGGGAAGGGGTGTTAGAGACAGGACAAAGGGAACCCTTAGGGGTGCCTAACTATTGGCTTAGAATGACCTAGGAGGAAGCTGTAGCCACAGCCTCCTTTCATTCTGCGATCCTGAGATCTAATTCAATAGGACTCATAGACTTAAAAGGGACCTTAAAGGTTATCTAGTACATTTTACAGATGAGAAAAATGAGGCTGGGAAAGGCCAGTAATGCCCACGGTCACATAGGTGGCAGAGCCCAAAGGTTCAGGCTGTTGACCTCACTTCCTCGTCCCCTGAGCATGAAACAACCAGGAAGAGCTCCAATTATTCTCTGAGGTTTGACTGGAAAACCACTGTGGGAGACTCAGAGGCAGAGGAATGTCACTCAGTGAAATCAGCTTTCAGTGTCCTGATACCACCCTTGTTGAATATCTTCACCCAGCTATGGCTAAGTAAATCTGCCTTTGTTAATTGTTGAATGTCTCATTTAATTCCAATATTGAACCTAAACTACCAAGGGGTTGACCTGAGTCAGGCACAGCCCAGAAGAGTTAGAACACTTGGGCTGGACTGCAATGGAGTAATCTCATTGAAACCGAGCATCAGCAGTGCAGAAGAATGTGAGCCAGGACTGGCCTCGGTGCCTCTGCTAGTGCTTTTGGTGATATTTCTGGAGATGGTGGCTGCTTGGCAACCAACCCCTACCCCTGGAAGATTAGAGAGTAAACTGTCTAGGACCATTCAGCAAGGAGTGACCATTGTGAATGTGCTCAGTGCCATTTAAGAACTGTACCCTTTAGTAGGGTCTTCCTGTAAGACATCGTAGCCATTTCAGCTGATGTCTGCTTTTCCCTTACTACTACAGAACACTAAACCTTTCACAGGTCAGTCAGATTGTGTGTGATAGCCAAGCCAGAAGGGGAACAGATGGCTATCAGTGTGGCAAGGTCATGTGGAGCTATACAACAGGAAAGGAAGCCTTACCACCCAGTTTCTCTGGGTCAGAAGGCCAGTCATGACCTCCAGGCATTGATATTCCTGGCTACCAGTCCCAAAGAATGCTTTGGGATCAGACTTCAGGGAACTTCCCCTTGGGTGAGATCTAGGACTCTCTCTCTCTTGGTTAAGCTGAATTAGCTCACTTCCAATAGGAGAGCTCCTTCACTCTATATTATCTGGTATATGTTCTCCTATATACACTTTCTCTGGTTTCTGTTTTGCTATGATTTGGATAAATGGGTTTCTTTGATTATTGCTGTGTGTGTGTAGGAGTCAAGCTTTAGATAGAAATCACGGGATCTTGCTTCACTCACTAATGAAACAGCCATCAGAAGCTAGCCTGAACCTGCACATCACACCCCCTAGACTAACAATGTTTAACGGAACAGATAGATATAATTCTAGCCCAGTCCCCCCTCTCTCTGAGGAGAAAAGAGTGGTGTCATCTCTAACCTCTGGATTCTCTTGCTGGCAGCAATTACAGCATCCCTTAAAGAAGGTGAGAAAAGGAAAAACAGAGATGTCTATTCTGCTCCCTTCAAGCCATACAATGCCATCCCCACGCTACCTGTGTAGAACAGCCCTTGTACCATACAGTCCTACTTCTCACCCAGCGGCCAGTTCCCCAAAGTCTCTTGCTTAATAAACTAGCTATAGGGACATTATGGAGACTGCCTGCTCTGTTCTTGTCAGCTTCTTCTCAGAGTTTTTTCCTTTAACAACCAGGTGACGTGAGATTGGCATCTTGCCATTTGAAGCTAGAAGCCAGAAATCCCCAAAGTCCAAAGAGACTCAGCAACTCAAAGAAAACTCAAATAAACAGCACACTAGAAACAGCTGAAGATAACTCCAGAGCTCTCTTATCTCCCATTCCCACCAATTCTACTCTGCTCTTCTGCAGGTGGGCGACATTGACTACCTCTACAAAGCTGGGAAACGACCCACAGACTTATCTGCACTCTTATCCCATCCCACTTAATGATGGAAAGAGAAGCTATAGTTTCAGAAGGAGTTACAGAACCAGAGACAGTGGGGTTTGGGAGCACCTGAAGATTATCACTATTCAAAGCTGCCTGCTAAACTCATGAAGAAGAGACTCCCCCCCACCCCTTCTGTATTTTTAGTGAGAAGTATAGAAGCATTTTTATGAAACAAATTTACAAATCTTATATCAAGTTACTCCACTTGGGGGCTAAGGGTATCTGACAGATGAATCATCAAAGATAGCCTGGATGTAGCATGGTACAACAGGTACCCAAGCTTGGGGTCCAGGTGGAAAAGCTAGCAAAAGCACAAAAACATTAATATAAAAGAGTAATAAACTGCTTACATTCCTATACTCTCACTGTCCTCCATCCACCCTTTAGTCTCTATTGTATCAAAAGGGAATGTTTCAGGGGCAGCTAGGTAGTGCAGTGGATAGAGCACAGGCCCTGGATTCAGGATGACCTGAGTACAAATCTGCCCTCAGACACATAAGACTTACTAGCAGTACGACCCTAGGCAAGTCACTTAACTCCATTGCCTAGCCAAAAAAAAAAAAAAAACAGGGAATGTTTCAAAGTTTCTACTTCCTAGGCATCAGTTTCCCTTTCCCAGATGTTCTATGGTTTTCTAGGCTTTTGCTCTCCCAATGATCTCTACTCCCTGCACCACTTTGTAATCAGCTGCTTCCTAGTCCCTGTGTCCTCATTCCTAGGGTTATAAATCTGTAATTCCTCATCTCTTTCTCCTTACTTTTCTGCCAATGGGGCTAGGGAAAGCGTTGAACAGTGGGACTCCCCACCCACTGCCCTTTAGTCAAGGCACTAAATGAGATACTTCACCATGACCTGATCAGTGCAGATGGCTACCCTCGGTTAGTCCAGGTTTTGTTTCAGGAATTACATAAAATTTCAGAGACATCAAAGGCTTCTCATAATATCCACTTAGTTCCTGGTTTCTTTTCCTGGAGTGCTCACTTTTCCAGACACTTCTGAGGGTGACGGGACCAGACTGAAGTGCACAAGGGCCAAGCAGAATTGGAATCACTGGGGAAGGAGATGCTGGCCTTCTGGCTCCTGCCTCTTGTACTGCAGCTCCCACTTTCCCAGTTCATTGCTGCTCAGACAGGTGAGTGGGCTTCCTTT